CTGACGGGGAAAGAGTTAATACTTGCTTGACTCAGTAAACAGCATTCAAAAGCGTCTCTCTCTAATGTTTTTCACACACACGGTTGTTCATAAATGTCTGAACTGTATTTCTGTGATTCATAATCATCCTCCAGTGCATATTATTACTGCAGCGTTTGATCGTTCTCCACCACGCTTGTATTTACGACACAAACACATCTCACGGTGAGATCGATACGAGACGTCTCTTGCAGTCACGCAGCTTTGGATATTAATGGAAAACCTGATGCCTAATAATAATGATGAACACATAGCTTCACTTCACGATTACAGCTGTAGTTTGGCTCCAGAAGGAAGGTTTTTCATGAAGTTTCCAGCAGAAGTGGAGCCGCGTTTCGCTCTCACTGCCGCTCTTGTCAATTCCAGCCCATTACCTGGCCTCATTTCCGTCTTTCTCGCTGTTTGTTCTCCTGTAATTACTGAGCTCTCCTGGATAAAATTGTGCTACATGCAATTACGGCCTGGTTACCATGGAGATGCATGCTCGATACATACGATTGGACGGAGGGTCAGGACACTCCCCCTCCTCGAGCGTGACATCATCGATGGCGATGTCCCCCTCGATCCCGGGGCCGCGGATGCCCTCGAATATCACCTGTGTGATGGAAATGGAGCACAAACAAAATAAAGCTTGTCTCCAGAGCCTCTTCTGGACTCGACATAAGCTACTGTAAAATATGAGAGGTTGTGCCATTAGACTATTTTTAAAATACAGCATGACCTCAAGTGACTTACTGTTTCATACGATGCTTTGTGACTTCATAAAAACATTTAGGACATAAAATTATATATATATATATATATTGTATTTACAAAAAAAATATAAATATAACATTAAGACTTTTGTCTTTGAAAGAAGTCTCTTCTGCTCACCAAGGCTGCATTTATTTGATCAAAAATACAGTAAAACAGTGAAATATTTTTGATGTGAATATCTGTTAAACTGTAATTTATTTCTGTGATCTACTCCAGTCTTCAGTGTTACATGATCTTCAGAAAGCATTATAATATGCTGATTTGCTGCTCAACAAACATTTCTGATTATTATCAATGTTGAAAACAGTTGTGCTGCACAATATTTTTGAGGAAACCGTGATGCATTTTATTTTTCAGGATTCACAGATGAACAGAAAGTTCAGAAGAACAGCATTTATTTGAAATAGAAATCTTTTGTACCATTATAAATGTCTTTACTGGCACTTTTGATCAATATTAATATTTAATTGATTAATAAAAGTTTTTTTTTTGTATCAGCTAGTTGCCAAATCAAAATGTCTCATTATTATTTAATTAAAGTTAACGTACTAAAAGAACTAAAACAAAACAAACTGAAAAAAACCTAAATGAATAAAATTTATATAGACATTAAAAAAAGTAATAAAAATGACAAAAAAGCCTAACAAAAGTTCTAAAACTTTAACTAAAATTAAAATGAAAACAGAAAATATAAAAATAGAAGAAGACGCGTCACGCGCTCAGAATGCGCTTAGGACAGTTCGGACATTGCAGTAAATCAGAGGTAAAAAACTATATAAATACTGTTCAGTTTCTTGCACAGACCGATCATTTCGTGTCTTTACACATCAATGTGTCGTCACGAGCTGAAAGAAGAAGACGCGTCACGCGCTCAGAATGCACTTAGGACAGTTCGGACATTGCAGTAAATCAGAGGTAAAAAACTATATAAATACTGTTCAGTTTCTTGCACACACCGATCATTTCGTGTCTTTGCACATCAATGTATCGTCACAAGCCGCAGGGTTTAATTTGGTTTTGTTTGTGTATGTTTTTTTGACTCTCAAAGCCGTGATTCCCATCCACTTCCATTATATGACTGATAGACTGCAACGGTTTGAGTTGAAAATCTCCGTTTGTGTTCTACTGAAGAAACAAAGTCACCTACATCTTGGATGCCCTGGGGGTAAGCAGATAAACATCACATTTTCATTTTTGGGTGAACTATCCCTTTAATGACTAAAACTATAAATTTCCTTCAAAACGGACCTAAACCTCACAAAAATGCTCTATAAATACTGAATGAATGTGAATGTCTCCGTGTTACACGTGCAGTTCGCTCACCTGGAAGGAGGCAGTAGGATGGATGCTAATTTTGGCTTGTCTCCATCGGTCCCCTTGGTTCCCGCTAAGAGACCAGACTGGACCGGCATCTGAAGTCGACTGACCTTTCTGCTTCACAAATGCATTCAGAGAGCCTGTGGGAAAATACAATCAATTAATTTAACAACTGAACTCCGTCCAACAGAAGAACTGAAGAGCGCAAGTCAAATTGCAAATCAATCGATTGTACTTGGTTTCTACCTGGTCAAAGCTGTAGGATGGTAAATTAACAATCATGCTTGCTTTGGGTATTTGGGAAAGGTGTGTGGAAATCTGAAGACAATAATCAACTTTTTTTCATGAACTGGTCAGTTTTGAGGTCTATTTTGCTTCCATGACATGCCTTGTTTCAGACGTGTGGAAAGAAAACATTTCAATTTCAATTCTAGCACATCTTCAAAAGTTTTTCCTCCACTTAAGCAGCACTTACATACACCAAAACTTAGAGTTTGATTCCTCTCTATATTCTGAAGATTTTTACTGAGGGGTTTGTTCATATAACATTCACACTAATTTATATAGCATTTTATTCCTAAAAACATGGTGAAATGTTTGTTTTCTGTCTGTTGACAGTATTTTCTGATTTATGGAGTAATAAAAAGAGAAATCAAGAATCAACTCTGGAAAAACATTTAACTCTAAAATATCAACAAAATCAAATAAAAATTTTGAACCAATGTTCAGACTAGTGGTGGGAAAAATCATCCAAAATACACATATAACTGTTCGTTTTATTATATTTTGATCTATTTGTGTCTGTAGATTTAATTTCCAATCAATAACTTTAAAAGTTTTTCCTCCACTCCAGCAGCACTTACATACACCAAAACTTAGAGTTTTATTTCTGTCTATGTTCTGAAGATTTTTACTGAGGGGTTTGTTCATATAACATTCACTTGATTTTTTTTAACAACATTTTATGTGAAAATGTATTTCTGCCTGTTTGTGGTAGGCTATTTTCTGATTTATGGAGTGATAAAAAAGAGAAATCCAGAATCCCTCTGGATAAACCTTTAACTCTAATATGTCAACAAAATCAGACAAGAATGTTGAACCAATGTTCAGACTAGTGGAAAGAAAACATAAAAAAAACACACTGCACTTTATCTATTTGTATCTGTAGATTTCAATAGCAATACATATATTTAAAAAAATTTTTGTCCAATTCAGCAGCACTTACATACACCAAAACTTACAGTTTTACTCCTATCTATATTCTGAAGGATTTTATAGAGAGGTTTGTTCATTTACCATTTGGTTGATATATTATTTTAAATTATATTTCTTAAACAAGGAGAAAATTTATAGTTTATCTCTCTGTTGACAGTATTTTCTGATTTATGGAGTAATAAAAAGAGAAATCCAGAATCCCCTCTATAAAAACTTTGAACTCTAATATGTCAACACAATCAAACAAGAATATTAAGTCTGGCTTTATCCAGTGTTCAATTTTATGTTCTGGAAATGTATGCAAATTGTATGCACCTACAGCGTTTTGCCTTAAACAAGACATTACGGTCAGGTTTAGGTAGTCAATCCGCTCAATCTTCCTGAGTGAAACACTTGTAAAGAGGAATGAAAGCGTTTCTGCTCATGTTAATGTGAGCGATATCCTCTTATCCTCTTAAATGGACTCCTCTCTCATTATATTCCAGCAGCTGCTCCGCTGGGATAAAACGTCGGGTTTAGAGATGAATGAGGTGTTGTGGTGCTTCTGTACAGCTGTATATTCAACCATATGCACAACAAATATGGCAATCTTTATCTGTGCAGATTCAAAGTGCTCATTAATCTTTAAAACTCTCTTAAGTGGAAGTGGGGAAAAAATCTGTGAATTTAAATATGGTACAATGTGTTAAAAAGACTTCAGAGTCAGAATTGTCATTATTAACTAAAACTATCAAAATTGTTTCAAATGAAATAAAGGTGAAACAAAATAAAACACAAAAATTAAATAAAAAAAAATACTATAACTTCAATGAAAATCAGTAAAGTTGTAAAAATGAAGTAAAATTAAATATTTAAATTGCTAAAACTAAATTAATAAATGAATAAAACTAAAATTAAAATAATAAACACCCGGTTTCAAACACAAGACTAAAATGTAAGTCTGAGCTGTTTCAACTGAAAGAAACTTGCACTGACTGATCTTAAATATATCAGTGTCTTTGTTTTGTCTCTTCTAATTGAACTATGGTCTAATCCTGGTTTAGTCTAAGCCCTGTATGTGAAACCAGGCCAGTGAAAGATAAATGAAATTATAAAAAAACTAAAACTAATAAAAATGACAAAAGCACATAACAAAATTACTAAAACTCACACTAAAATGAAAATGAAAAAAAAAACAAACAAACAAAAAAAACAATAATAATGATAATTTGTAACATTGCATTGGCAACTAACTGAAATACGTTTAAAAACTCAATTACAAAAATTGAAATAACAAACTAAATTAAAGCCAAACAGAATTACAAAAAAACTCACAAAGTTCTTAAAACTTGCACTAAAATCAAAATGAAAACGGAATGAAAACCAGTTTCATTAATAATAAAAAAAAAAAACATTGAAAACTTAAAAATGTGTAATGTTTGCTTTGGCAACTAACTGAAATATAAATTACTAAAATAAACTATTGAAACTACTGAAAACTATGAAAATTGTTTTCAGTAACTGAAAGCTGAAATAAAATAAAAGACAAAATTAGATAAATGTAAAAAAAAAAACTTAAATGCAAATTATTAAAGTAACAAGTTTAAATTTCTAAAACGAAATTACTAAAACTGAAATAAAAAATAAAGCTAAATAGAATTATAAAAAACAAAAATGAATATAATCTAAATATAATATAGTTATTATAATTATAAAAAATATAAATTAAGAAAAAAAAAAAACTAACATTCACTTCAAAACATTAATAAATACAATAATAGTACACTGTACATTTTACTAAACCACTATAGAGGTCAAAGTGTGGTCAGTAAGTGCAAAAAGTGATCATGTTGATGGGTTTTTAGCACGTCTGTGGCTCTTACCAATGTGTTTGCCGTACATGTGGTAGTAGAAGCTGAAGCAGTACACCGGAGGGCTGGTGATGCTGTAGGGGTTTTTGGGGGCCACATTAAATGTGGGGCTCAGGAGACGCGCCGTGTCGCCATCTTTACGAGGTCTGGACGTCTCGATGTACATGAAGAAACCTGATAACCACACAAACACAATCATGAGACACACACAGTAATAGAAACTGCTGTAACACACGTGTGACACTGAAAACTGGAGTAATGATGCTGAAAATGAAAACTGTTATTTTAAATTGCATATATAGAATATCTGCAATATATAGAATATTTGATTATGTAATATGTAAAAATATATTTAATATACAATATTTCTAATTTATTCTGTACAACTACAAAATGGGAATTTAGCCAGAAACTCTGTATATACTAATATTACTACTACATAGTGTATCATATATTAAATATAAATAAATATTTCTAAAATGATTTATATAAATAATTAAAATGTTAAAAATTTTACAGGTTGAAGATGACAGAAATGATGAAGATTAGGTATGAGCTGCTCAGGTGAGAGAGACTCTGATGGCTGTGAAGACCAGCTTCTGACGACACACTGATTCTGTCCTAAAGGCCTCAGACGCTCGTACCCTGTTTGGAGCCGCTGCGGTCCCCGCTGGGCCCCGTGTTGGGCGTGTATTTGGTGTCGCGTGTGGCTGCGCTGTGTCTCGTCCAGTCGAAGTCGTCATTCTTGTCCTGAGTGAACATGCAGACGGGATCCTCCTCAAAACTGCAGTGAAACTCTCCTGAGAACAAACAGAAGCAGGCTTAGAAAGATCATCATCATCATCATTATCATCATCACCATCCTCATCATCCTCATTCTCATCATCATCATCATCATCATCCTCATTGTCATCATCATTCTCATCATCATCATCATCATCATCATCCTCATTGTCATCATCATTATCCTCTTCATCATCCTCATCATCATCCTCATCGTCATCATCATTATCCTCTTCATCATCCTCATCCTCATCATCCTCATTCTCATCATCATCATCATCACCATCCTCATCCTCATCATCATTCTCATCATCATCATCATCATCATCCTCATTGTCATCATCCTCATTCTCATCATCATCCTCATCATTATCCTCATCATCATCATCGTCGTCATCATCATCGTCATCATCATCATCCTCATCATCCTCATCATCATCATCATCCTCATCATGATCCACGTCATCATCCACGTCATCATCCTCATCATTATCCTCATCATCATCCTCATCATCATCCTCATCATCATCATCATCATCATCATCCTCGTCATCATCCACGTCATCATCGACGTCATCATCCTCATCATTATCCTCATCATCATCCTCATCATCATCCTCATCATCATCCACGTCATCATCCTCATCATCATCATCGTCGTCATCATCATCATCCTCATCATTATCCTCGTCATCATCCTCATCATCATCATCATCATCATCCTCATCATCATCCTCATCATTATCCTCATCATCATCCTCATCATCATCATCATCATCATCATCCTCGTCATCATCCACGTCATCATCGACGTCATCATCCTCATCATTATCCTCATCATCATCCTCATCATCATCCTCATCATCATCCACGTCATCATCCTCATCATCATCATCGTCGTCATCATCATCATCCTCATCATTATCCTCGTCATCATCCTCATCATCATCATCATCATCATCCTCATCATCATCCTCATCATTATCCTCATCATCATCCTCATCATCATCATCATCATCATCTCACACACTCATGCATTCACACCGCTGCCGGTAGGAAGATTTACAGACGCTCTGATGATCGAATGTTTGGTCTTTATTTAAAGGAGCCGCAACGCAAAGAAGCATGTTGATCTTGTGCAGACTTACCACAAATAAGTTAACCTCATGAAATATGTGACGCAGACCACAAAACCAGTCTTAAGGGTCAGTTTTTCTAAATTGAGGTTTATGCATCATCTGAAAGCTGAATAAATAATATTTCCATTGATGTATGGTTTGTTAGGATAGGACAATATTTGGCTGAGATACAACTATTTGAAAATCTGGAATCTGAGGGTGCAAAAAAATCTAAATATTGAGAAAATCATCTTTAAAGTTGTTCAAATGAAGTTCTTAGCAATGCATATTACTAATCAAAAATTAAGTTTTGATATATCCCAGGTTAAAAAAGTACACTTCCATAATGTACTTAAAGTGCTCTATTGTCACACACTAATTTTGTACTTAATATACTAAAAATGATTCTTTAGTACTTCTTAAGATGAACTTAAGTTCAACTGTGCTATTTTGGGACACCATGAATAAATACTAGAACCCATCTTTCATACACTAGTACACTCAAGTGTACTACAAGTGGTAACTAAATACGTTTTTTAAATACGGAGATAGTATGTTAAAAGTGTCTGTTTGAAGTGGCCTGAAAGCATGTGTTGTGTTTGGAAACGAGCGTTGGAGAGATTCCTCGTCTTCAGGACTGTCACTAACACACACTGATGAGCAGCACTGTGAGATTCAGCCGCTGCTGTTTGAGGATGAATGTTCATCAGCATTAACACAGGCTTCACCCTCACGACTCAAACTAATGCAGGAGATCCTCGAGAAACCAGAGAACACGCTACACTCCTGAAAATACTCTAGAAAGCAAGGCAGGAATACTGCATAAATACTCACTCAGATCAGGATTGATGGGAGCTGTGAAGAGAACACATTCATCAGATCAGCAGCTGAGTTACAGTAAACACATCGCACTTCAATTAATAACAGTTATTCATTATTATAATTAACACTTGACCCTAATTTCATTCAATACAACACCAAAAAATCACTATGAAAAACTTTAATATTAAAACTTTTCACACATGCCAAAAATAAATATTAAAAAAATTACTAAATTGCAGAAATCGCTAGTAAATTTCACAAATAATTACAAAGAAACAGCAAGAAACACACTGAATGAAGCATGTAATTCTGAAGTAGAAAGACTGAAATTATATTTGGTTGTAAAACACTCGAATATATACTGTATATATATATATATCTTTTATGTACAATTCTGAAAAATAATTTTTTCAACTACAGGTATTGAACAACTATTCATAAATGTTTTTATTTTAACACGCTGTGAATATTATAAACCTTGTGTCCAGTATTTTCACTTTTTTAATTATTTCCCACATATTACTAAATAAATAAATAAACACAAACAAACATGAGAACATGTGGTAATTATAATGGCATTTAATATAAATGTATAAACTGAATATTATAGACAGTATTTTTACTGTTTGCAATATTAAAAGCAGTATTTGCACTTTTTTGCTATTTTTCACTATTATATATAATAAACTTGAGATAAAAATTAAAAACAGTATTTTTTACTATTTTCATGTTTTCACTATTTTAATCTAATTTTAATGTATACGTGTTTATTTTAACATTTAAAAAAACATTTATTTTATAACAAAAATGAATGATGAATAAAATGTTTTTTTGAACGATTAAAAAAAATGTAAAACTTTTTTTAACATTTATTTTTCATATTATTTTCACTATTTTAATTAAAATTTAAACAACATTAAAACATTATTCTTATTTTTTTTAAACATTTATTTGATCATTTTTCAAACAGTTTTCTAAAAGATTGTGTTCTTTCCTTCAGTCTGTTAGAGAAAGCTGAGCGAACACTATAACCAAAGCAATCAGCGGCTTTAATGAGTCTGACAGACAAACGAACCTTCAGCTCTGATCACGAGAAACTACAGACGACATGAAAACCTTCCGCTCAGAACGGAGGAACTGTGATGCAACGTCATGAAACGCTGATGAAACGAGCCGCTCGCAGCAAACAACCCACAGCCGGAGAGAAAACAGCAATAATCACGCTTATGAGCGCAGATCCTTACTTTTTACATTACTAATGGGGGAAAAAACTTTCTTTAATTTAAATTAATTTAAAATGAGTAAATATAATAATAATAAAAAAATCCCCTCATATACTGTGTAATAATAAAACAATGTAATTTTATTTTATTTAAAGTTAATAAATATAATAATGATAAAAACGCCAAGGTCTTTAAATATAAATGTTATATATATATACATTTAAATATAAATACAAAAAAAAAAGTTCTTAAAAGGCCATTTTTGTTGATTTAATTTAAAATTAATAATTATAATAAAACATAAATTTAAGTCTTTAAATATAAATACAAGTCTAAATATGAATACAAATTAAATAAAAAATAATAAATTTGCTAAAAAACGAAATCTAATTTGCTAAATCTAAGTCCTTATATATATGTTTCTAAAATGCTTTTTTCTGATGTATTGTTTAATTTAATTTAAAATTAACAAGTCTAATAAAAAAACTCTCAGCCTAATTCTTTAAATATAAATGTTTAAGCCTAAATATAAATACATAGATACCAAAGATATTTGTTCCTAATTTTTCTGATTTAGGAAAAGATGAAGTCCTTAAATATATATGTTCATAAAATGCCTTTTTTTCTGATGTACTGTTTAATTTAATTTAAAATTAATTAAATTAAAATTAAATTCTTTAACCCTCAATCAACCTTCGGGACAAATTGTGGGCAAAATCATTTTGTTTTGTTTTTTTAAAAACAGTTTCCTTAATCTGAGCGGTTCAAGACTTGGCTACTTTTCGTAAGTTTGTCGCCTGAACACACACACACTCACACACACACACACACACAAAGAGGACTCGATTAAACAATGTTAAGTGGTTGGACAAAAAAAAAACTCCTTAATTTGACCTTCGTGTCCAAAAATGGGCACCCATAGGAAATGAAAGGGAAATACCAAAATTCAAAGCATTTTTTAAAATTATTTGTCTAATAAAAATCAATAAATCCAAAACAATTCACATCAAACATACACAGAAATGAAGGTTTGAGCCTATACAACATTGTCAATGTGTCAAACACACACACACACGCGCACACTAACTCACACACACACACACACACACACACACATACATACTCACTCACTCTCACTCACTCACTCACTCTCACACACACAAGCGCACGCGCGTACACACACACACTCACTCACTCACTCACTCACTCAGCATCATATGACCCCTTTAAATATTAAATTTAACATTAAAATAAGCATATTTTACATAAAAAAAGATGGTACTTTTAGAGGTAAAAACACCAAAATCACAGAAAATTGCATAAATTAATAGATTTTATTTTATCGAAGATGGTGATATGACATTTATAAAAAAAAAAAAAAAAAATTGGGATCACACCTGAGACCTTCGTGACCAAATTTGTCCACGAAGGACAGATTAAGGGCTGTTATACGAAGGATGCTTGAGGGTTAAATATAAATGCTTAAGTCTAAATAACACACACACCACTCACTCACTCACTCACTCACTCACTCACTCACTCTCACACACACACACACACACACAACACACACACACACACTCACTCACTCACTCACTCACTCACTCACTCACTCACACACACACCACACACACCACTCACTCACTCACTCACTCACTCACTCACTCACTCACTCACTCACTCACTCACTCACTCACTCACTCACTCACTCACTCACTCACTCACTCACTCACTCACTCACTCACTCACTCACTCACTCACTCACTCACTCACTCACTCACTCACTCACTCACTCACTCACTCACTCACTCACTCACTCACTCACTCACTCACTCACTCACTCACTCACTCACTCACTCACTCACTCACTCACTCACTCACTCACTCACTCACTCACTCACTCACTCACTCACTCACTCACTCACTCACTCACTCTCACTCACTCACAC